TCTATTTCTATTCCATTCCATTCTATTTCTATTTCTATTCCTATTCCTATTCCTATTCCTATTCCTATTCCTATTCCTATTCCTATTCTATTCCATTCTATTTCTATTCCTATTCCTATTCTATTCCATTCTATTTCTATTTCTATTCCTATTCCTATTCCTATTCCTATTCCTATTCCTATTCCTATTCTATTCTATTCTATTCCATTCTATTTCTATTTCTATTCCATTCCATTCCATTCCATTCCAGATATCTGGGAGAAGAGGAGGCCATGACTCACAGCAGGAGAAAACAATCGTTCAAGGGACATTCTTGCACGCTTAAGAAACTGAAGCTGAGTTCCAATTCTAACGCCTGTCCCCAGTTGCACAGTTTTGTTAAAGTCCCTTTGGAATTACGATCATGGGATTTGGCTCCGGTCCGAAGCAGCCTTCCTCACCGTCCAGAAGTTGCTACTCCTCCAGCCGCAGCAGAGTCCGCTTTTTCCACGCCCAAGATGCTAGAGAAGGCGGTACCCTCCTTTGCTCCGCTTTGAGGATGGTGGGGGAGATCGGAGGGGCGGAGAGGCAGGACCTCCAGCGCCCCTTCCTCCCAGGCCTTGTGGGAGGAGAACAGCTGGTAGGAGGTGATGGAGGACAGCCTGCGGAAGGTGTCCTTCATCGCTTCTTGGAACTCCCGCCGGATGAGACAGTAGAGGATGGGGTTGAGGCAGCTATTGGTGTGAGCCAAGCAAGTGGTCAGCGGGAAGGCATAAGTGTGGAGGTAGTGGAAGGTGTGATCCATGGGCAGAGCCCCGACTTTCACCAGAACGCCCCAGAGAGTGACCACGTGGTTAGGGAACCAGCAGACGAAGAAGCAGCCGACCATTAGGCGGACAGTGGAGGCAACTTGTTTATGCCGCGTTGGGCTGCGGCTGGGAACGTGGTGACTTTTGAGGAACCAGAGGAGCCGGAGGTAGGACGTCAAAATGACCACCAAGGGGATGACGAAGGCGAAAACCACCCTCTGGAGCTGGTAGATCCCCAAGTGATACAGGCTGGGGAATTGGAAGAGGCAGAGTTCCACCCCAGCAACGCGTATCACCCCGGCGTAGACGGCTGTCGGCACAGTGGCTCCCACCGCCACGGCCCAAAGTCCGGCCGTGATGCACTTGGTCGCTCGGGGCGTCATCCTGAACCCTCCCTTCACCGCAGAGACTACTGAACAATAGCGGCTGACCGCCATGGCGGTGAGCAAGAAGACATTGGCGTAGATGCTGAGGAGGGTCAGGGAAGGGACGGCTTTGCACATGGCGTGGCCGAAGGGCCACTGGAAATCCAGCGCCACCTCCGTGGCCCAGAAAGGCAGCATCAGGGAGAACTGGAAGTCGGCGGCGGCGAGGCCAAAGACCATGATGTTGATGGCGGCCGCGGACGTCTCCTTCTGGATCCAGATCAGGTACATCACCAGGCTGTTTCCCAAGAGGCCCGCCGCGCACACCAACAGGTAGACGGTGGTGATGGAGATCCGTAGGCCGAACGAAACCTCCGGCAGGACCAAGGGGACGTCATTGTTGAACAAGTCCAATGTCCCCATCGGGGTGCCGTTTGTGACACTGGCATTGCATGCGGGATCCTGAAGCCTGCTCATCTTGGGAGCCGAAACGGATTCCTTGAAAGGTGTTTTATCACAGCCCCTCTGATCATTGCACAGCGGACGCTGGGATGAAACTGCAGTATTTTCTCAAGAAAGTATCTGTTCAGATCCTCCAGAGGAGACGCTCCCTGGAGCTGCCCGCCTGCCTCGCTTGCAAGCAAATCGGAGGTGTGAGCACAAGGAAAGCAACAGACTTATAGACTTATATCCCGCTTCCCTGTGCTTCACAGCCCTCTCTAAGCGGTTTACAGAGTCAGCCTCTTGCCCCCAGCTTGAGCAGGGTGGCGTGTTCTTCGCAAGCCCCAGCCTCCGGGACCTTGCGAAAGGCCCGCAGGAGACCCTGCTCGCTGACGGGAGCCAGTCCGTTTGCGAAGGCTGGCAAAGAGCTTGTGGCCTTGGTGGCAAAGATGGGAGGGCAGGAAGCAATCCAGCTTCTCTCTAGGAAGGAAGGAAGGAAAAACAAAAATGAAAGAAGAACAGAAATTTCCCCTCGGCCAGCGGTTCCCAGTCCTTGCTCCCCCTCCCTGCTTTCAGAATCGATAGAGGTAGTCCTCGGCTTAGGACCACAGCTGAGCCCAACATGTCTGTTGTTAAGTCAGAGATTAGTTTAATGAATTTTGCCCCATTTTATTATCTTTCTTGCCTCCGTTGTTGAGTGAATCACTG